TATATATATAAACTTCTTCAGTGTCTTGGAGGAGCATATCACTGATATCTTGCTGGATTGCATAGATCTGGAAGATCACTTGTTCAGAAGAGTGGCTAATTTCTGGCCCTGTAGGCATCAGAAAGGCAAGATTAAGAGTTGTGCAAGTTTTATAACAACCTCAGAGGTGTCTCAGAGCATGACCCAATACTTTGTAAGATAGTTCCTTGTTAACCAAAAGTAACATTTTGTCTCCAGAATTGTCCTGACCTGATGGGGAGTCAGGACTTTTAGTCTGTGTCCTAAAGTTGATTTTGCAGATTCCTTTGTTAGTATAACTGTAGTTGCTACTACTATAGTACTGGGCAGAGTTCTTGTCTTAGCCCTTGTGTCATATCATCCAAAGCAATTCCTCTCTTTATTGATATATAGAGGATGAATTTTCTTAAGTCAGGTATTTCCAATGCTGGAGTCTGAGAAGGGGATGTTTTATTTTTCTAAAAGCACTATCATCACTTTTGTCTATTCTAGAGGCACAGACTCAAGGACTTTTATAGCCTTGTATAAAAAGCTTTGATATTAGCTCAAAATTAAATATCCAGATTTCCAACAGAAGCTGGACATTCCCAGGAATGAAGCTGTGCTTTGGAGATAGGAGGCCTAAAATCATAAGTAGCCTGGATCCAGTCCCTAGACAGTTGCTATTCCCCAAGCGTAAGAATGTTTCCCAAATAGTGAACTTTCTAGAGGGATATCTGAGTCTTTTCCTTGAAGAATTTGTACCTTTTCTTAGCTAGAAAGTTGAGCAAATTGTATAATACTGTGGTAGCATATAACTGATGAGTTGGGCTGAAAATTAGAATATCATTTATATAATGTAGAAGGGTTTACTGGTTAAGATCTAGGTTCCTTGAATGTTTCCCTAGTGCTCACACAAAAGGTGAGATCTATCTCTAAACCCCTGAGGGAGAATTTTCCAAATATAGTCCTGTTTTTTTAAAAATTTATTTTATTATTGTGTGTGTGTGTGTGTGTGTG